TTCTCCATATATTCTGAAATGCTACAATTCTTTGGGTGTCCCCAAAGAATTCTTGCCTGTCAAGAAGTAGAAATATGTAGTTCATTTTTAGTCAAATCATTATGTTCAAAGGCAAGAAAATACATGAAGGAAAAATAACAACATTTAAGATATCAGAAAAATAAAATAATTTGGTTACTCAAGTTGTTGCTGTCCTCCTCACTCTCTCTGGTATACTGCAAGGGCTCACACTTACTGAGGGCTGTTGTGTCCAGACTCCAAAATGAGTGTATTAAATGTTTTACCTCATCAAACTCTTCAAACAACCCTCTGAAGTAGGCACTATAATTGCCTGCGTTTCGGCACAATGGGGTCAAATGACTTGGATATTAAGGGAATGGCCAAGATTGGAGCTCAGACAAGCTGTTTTGAAATCCATGTTCTTAATTGTTACATTACTTCATACTATATTATACTGTATCATAACTTTATAATATCATGATTCAGATTTGTAGCTGGATTGTTACCTCAGGGCAGAACAATACATATTCCTCCAGCTGAGACAGGCCTCATGCTTTTTTGGTGTGCTAGCAAATACAACAATAGGCTAGTATAGATGAAAATAAGAAAGAACTACATTTCCCAAAATTTCTACATGCAGATTTGCAACAATAAATTTGCATTAATGTAAGTTTTTCATTTAAAAGAAAACTTAACTTTGATGTATAACAGACAAATTACATTAAAATGTTAAATCTGTAAGTCATTGTTAAAAAATAGCTTACTTATTTTAAGCAAAGAAAACTTTCCAGTCTTTGATATAAGTTCTTAAAAACAAAAATAAAATTCCTTTCCTCAACTGTCCTTTTCCATTTCACACATATTGATCTTTCCATATGTTTTAAATAATGATGAAATTAATAGAAACTGTTTTTAATGAATCCAAATCATAATTCCTTTCATGTCTAAATGTTCTAGGGAAGACTGAGGTGAAAAGCTGCTTAAGCATTAGGAAAACCTAAGAAGAACCAGGAACAGCTTTAGAAGAGGAGCTGAAAAATGGTGATGAACTGGGAAGACAACTATGGAAGGAAAGGTTGGATGCAGTAGGGTACTCCAATAAAGATTCTGAGGTGGGGGGACCAAGGCCAAAGCCTAGATAAAACAAGACAGAAGAGAAGAATACAACCAATTTTGACCAAACTGTTAGCTGTGAATCGATGAAAAAGACTACCCTGTGGATAATTCATACTTGCCTATGAACTCTAACAGCCTTTTTTAAAAGATGTGCCACCAGGCAAAAGTTCTCAGTATTTTTTGAACCTTACTTATTTACACAATGGGTCATGATATTTATTTAACTGAACTGCAAGGAATAATCAATGGGACATCCTCACACAGCTCCCAGCAGAGTCTGGCACTGTGGGTGCTGGGGAAACAAGATCCTCTGCCCTGCCCGCCCAGCAGACACAAAGTAGCCAGGCAGAGGAAAGCCAAGCAGAAGACCCCTTCACAGCAGGCTCTGCAGTCTCATAATTCACCCAAATTTTGTTAATAATTTATATTATTTTGAAAATCTTTATGATCCTAATTATTTTCCTAAACCAGTAACAAGATCAATTTTTGAAAACTTCATAGGAAATATAAAGCGATTTTAAAGCATTTTTCTCATACTGACAAACCATAAATTTGCAATGTGGAAAATGCTATTTGACAAAATCATTGTTTTAGCTATTAAATTATTGTTATTAGAATAGTTAAAACTGGTCCAACCAATATCGAAAACAGTTGGTTTGGAATGTAACATTTTAATTTCTGACTATTCAGTATATATGTATTATTATTTTTAAATATAGAGATGACTATATTTGTTTACATAAATAATTCGCTATCACATTATACGAAACCAAGATTTTACATGACTGCATTATAGGACACAATCTGTAAAATATCTATTTCACAAATAGTTTTTTTAATTTTAAAAAAAGGTTTTTAATTACTAAAAGCAGAAAAAAAAATTAGAATCTTAGAGCGTATTTCAAATTCAACACTTTATTAGCCACTACTAATATAATTTTGATACTCTCAGATTTAGGAAAACATTTGTAAAATGACCATGCCACACCATAATGCTCACAGGGCTCTAAGTCATGAGGCAGTTTTAAAGCTTAGTGGTAGTCCTTGTACACAGCTGCAAGTTGTGTAGACAAGTGTGCCACCCAGAGGAGAAAAGAGGAAATTCTCCTTGGATTTTATTTGTAAGACAAAAACTAATAAACATTAGAAAAATTTTAAATTATTTGCTATTACTTATCTATTCAAAAATAAAAAAAAGTTATAAGGTTCTCTCTGCAGGAATTAAGTCTTTTAGTGCCAAGCTACATAAAATCGTGGCTCTTTGAGAACTCTCATAGCATAGAAACAAGCCCTGAAGTGGTACTAGTCATAGGTACACAGTTTGCCAATTAAAAATTTGAATTTAACTGTATTCTTTACAGCAAACGATTTCTTTTATTTTAATAATTGACATCACATGTGTTTCTAGAAGTACATATGAGATCTGGAACAACTATCATGATCTATTTAGACACATGGACCCAAAGTTAAACTAATTACCAGAGATATTTCTTAAGTGAGAGAAGTTTCATTAGAAGATCTTCTGCATAATTTTCTTCTGGCAAAGTAATAGTTTATTTAGAGTAATTCTGTTTGGCAGATAGTCAGGGCTGCTAAAACATACCAATAACCATTAAGGTTAAAGCGAAAGTCAATTTTATTAAACATACAGAAAAAATTCAAGCTTCTAATGGCCTAAACAATAGGAAGATTATAAAATAGAAATTTATGATATTGCTGTTTTTCTTAGAAGTCTGGACGTTGGGAATACTGCTGGCAATGGGCCACCATTTAAGATTTACGTATTTTACAATGAACAACAAAAAATCAAACTTAACAGAAAAACATGGCATCCATTAAAATGAGAAAATAATTTTAGGTATAAAATTTGAAAGTTCCTTTTTCTACACTGTAAATTTCTATTTTTCGAAATAATGTTTTGGGTTCTCAAATGTTAATAATATACTCATTTTATAGTTTTATTTTCACTCCAACACACTTTAAAATAGAAAGATTCTAAACTCACACCTAGATGTTAGGAATACTAAGTGTTTATTGCTGACTTCAACTTTTTTCTATTAAATTAGAAAATTCTACAGTTATTAATTCCAAGTAAATTTTTTTCCTGCAACATCTTATCAAAACACTGCTTTCAAGTACCGCTGTTAACTAAACCTTCCTCTCTTGGCTGTCACTGAGGGATCTCATTATTATCTGTGAGAGTTAATTCTCTTGCCTATTTATACCCCTTAATCTTCCACATGCTCTGAGTTACATCATTCTGTAAAAGATGCTTCCACCTGCAATGACGGCTGCAAAATATCTAAGCACGAAGCACAAACAGTTCTACTTTCACATCTCTATTTCTACATTTATTTGGGAAATAAACAAGACTATGGATCTAAGTCCAGCCTGATATATAGACGACCTTTATATGCTGCTGAAATTGGAGCAAATCTGACAACTCAGTAGTCAATATGGCTAATAAATGTTCAATGATTAAAGCTCAAAGTGTTTATCAGGGAATATATTGCAAGATTTTTAAATAGGGCCTAAGGGTTGAGAAGGTTTAAGTGCATTCTGAAGCAACAAAGAAAAGCTGGTTAATCAGGAGAATGACCTACATGTATCCTAGGATTATTAAAAGTTCTGTGTGTCTGCATCAAACATTCCATGAGATGATGATGTTAATAGTCGTCTTAGTATTTTCTACATTTTCCAAATTTTGTACAATAAAGCCAGTATCACTTTTATAAAGAGTAATTAAAATTACTGAATAATACTACTATTTCTTTAATTCTTTTATTCTTTAATTCTACTTATTCATTAAATGAAATAACTCTTCTGCATTTATAAAGAACAAAAGAAATACAGATAGGATGGCTACTTGTAGTCCATGAATGATTCAAGTTCATTGATAAGTATCCACAACTTAAAGGGTAAACTCTGAAACACTCCTCATACCTCTAATTGGTCAAGAAGACCTAGTGATAAAATTAAATGCTTAAAATTTCTTCAATCTTTCCTATTCCTTCTTCTCCTCTCCAATGCTACCATCTTAGTTCGCATCATTTTAAATATCTATATTCATTTAACCACTTCCTAATTAATCTCCCTGTCTGCAGGCCCAGCCTCCTACTCTTTGCTACCATTGTCACATTTTTAAATCCATCCTCCAGAGTCCAGAATAATCTCTGTGAAGTACAAACCAATCACATCACCTGTATGCTTAATATTCAGACAGCAAATCAAGAGTCAGAGTGATCCTGTGCCCCTCCTCATCCTCTGCCCACTGGCAGGGGACTTCCACAAGGAAGGAAGTCTAGGGACTGGCCACATTCCACACTGTACACCCTCGGTCTGCAAGGAGGGGCTGTCGCAAGAGGCTCCTTTGGCCTTTCTGTTTCAACTTAACCACTGATTCTATTTCTTTGTGGAAGAAATTAAAATAATTCCTTATAATAAAGAAATGTCAGGACCCCTAATTTATGGGTGAGGTCTTCCAAAAAAAATCCTAATTCCTAAAACCATAGTTTTCAAACATTTTTAAATGACCAGAATCATTTTCTTTAAACAAAATCTAATGAAGAATCCCAACAAAAAGTGGTTGAAATAGCATTTTTGAGATTGACAACATAGGCAGAAGTTAGATCATATTAAACTGTATAGGCCATAGAATAATATTCAAATTTGGTTGGTGCAATGCAAAATCAGTGGGGAGGAGCAGGGATGTGATAAAATCTGATTTACGTTTTTGAAAGACCAATGTTGCCTTGTGTAAAAGAGCTGAAACTACTGAGAATTTTAACACTCCGATATATTTTCATCAATCTCAATTTAACCTGCAAAGAGTGATATGCACTTTCCAAATAATGGGCTACCATGATAAAGAAGTCACAGAATACCTGATCCTCACTGGTTAATCCCAGGTGCATCACAAGGTAAAAATGCACCAGGAAGTCTGAGTTTGGCAGAACATCCTGGCGTCTGGTCATCATGGCACAGATCAGTTTGTAGGCTTGTAGTTTGCCTTCCTTATATTCATTTGGCAATGTTGTCGCCTGCCAAGGAGATGATGTTTAAAGATTTAATCAACTCCAGATGCACAGCATTTCGACATTTCATTTACTTCTCAGTTTTCCATAAGAGTTGTTTATGGAGATGTGGGACATATTGGCTTTAGTAAGACCCCGTCTGTCTTCAAAACATGCAGTCTTGGGCAATTACATTTTTAAAACTCAATTTCAGAAAGGAAGAGGAAATTACAATAAAGGAATAAACACATATCCACTTGCCTTAAATAGCCATGATGCAAACATTCTGAGTGGTGGGATCAAGACCGGAGGAGATGGAGAAGATTGGTTATCCAGGCTTATTGCTAGATTATCCCGTATCTAATTCAGAAAGAGGAAAATTTTAGGAAAGGCAAGACGGTTTATCCCAATGACATTTCAATATTGTGTTCCATTGTCAAATAGCTGTTTCCAATTAAATTCCTAAAAGTTGAGTGAAAACCCATAATATTTACAAGTTTTCTTTTTTTGGTGAGATCTACTGTCCTTTGAATTTTATGTCTCACTTACTGTATGTGGTTTTAGATTTAATACAAAACCAGGGCATTGTTTTTCCTTGACTGTTAATGCTTGGAGAGGTCCTGAACTCCAAATGAAAAAGAATGGTTCAACAAGTTACATTGTATAAACATGAATCATGTTTTTTCTTTTTTTTTTTTTAAATATAGTAACATGGGGAAAATGTATGTAATAAACAAAAACAAAAACCAGAATGAAAATTGTATGGCCTCTAAGATTCTACTTTTGTAAAAATGTGTTTATCCCTAGAAATAAGATTATATATTACTATTGGTTACCTTGCAGGATGGTGATGTTAATGTTCTTCTTAGTATTGTCCTACATTTTCCAAATTTTGTACAATAAAGCCAGTACCATTTTTATAGAGTAATTAAAATTACTGAATAATAACCTATTCTTAATATATTATAGCAATATTCTTATACATTAAATAACTCTTCTGTATTAGATAACCAAAATATGTTATTTTTGATAATCATACTTTGTATAAACACCTAATTATTTTTCCAGAATATGTTCAGTAGTGAACTGCAACATAGTTTTCATGTTAAAAGATAAGTCAATTTTCCCATATTAGAATAAAAAGTAACATAGCAAGACATACCTTTGCTAGTTTGTACCAGAGTTCATATAGGTAGCCAAAAACTTTGGCATGGATTTTGGGTGACTGAATATTATTTACATCTCCGAGGATTCCCAAGACTCTTCGCCACAACACAGCGGCAGAGTCTGCGTGCCAACCAGTGAGGTTCCCTCCAGCAATTATACTACAGTCATCTGCAAGGCATTCGCTGCTATCTATGGAGAAAAACATGTGTGTTAACCCTAGAAACACAATCTTGATTTCATCATTAGAGCCTTTTTTTCTTTAATGCAAATTGCCTATGCTTGAAAATTTTTATATTCAGAGTAAAATAATTAAGATGAAAAGTATAAAATAGCTGAAAATTTGAAAGGATATAAAATCAAGATCAATGAGAAAGGTCAAATGATTTTAATTCTTCAAACTAAAAGGGCAACAAACCTAGAGATGACAAAACACTTCCTGGAAACCCTTCTAAGAGTTTTCTAAAGGAAGGGAGGGGAGAGGGAACTTGAGTAGAATGGGTAGGAAACAGGCCCATGAAAAATAGGTGGCCAGGGAAGGCCTTATTGCTGAAGTGACATTTGCAGTGGTTGTTAATCTTAACAGGTTTATTGGGGGTATAATTGGCATACAACAAATATTATCTTTTTAGATTCAAGGTGTTTTGAGAAATGTATATACAATGATGTAACGGTCACCTTAAACTGCCACCATAACTGAGATATGGAAGAGCCTCATCATAACAAAAGTGCCCGTTTAGTCAGTTTCCTCCTCCTATTCTTTGCCCTGACAACCACTGCTATTTTTTTGCCTTTTCCAGAATGTCATATAAATGGAATCCTACAGTATTGTAGCTTTTCTATTTTAAAAAATGTTTCTTTCACTAAGCATAATGCATCTGAGACTCATCCATGTGGATGTGTGCATCAGTTTGTTCCTTCTTATTGAAAATTAATATTCCATTTTATGGATGTGTCATATTTTGTTTATCCATTCACCAGCTGAAGAACATTTAGATAATTTCCTATTTTTAGTGATTATAAATAAAGCTACCATAAACATTTACATATAGGTATTTGTGTGAACATATGTTTATAGTTTTCTTTTGTAAGTCCAGAACCACAAAACAGCACACATTTGTTTATTCTTTCTTTTGTGGATCATATTTTCTAGTGAATCCCTGAGAAAGAGGCATGTCCTTCCATATCTGAAAGTTTGTCCCTGACTTATAATTCATAGTTTGACTAGGTACAGAATTCTGTGTTGGAAATGCTTTGCTACACTTTCCAATAGTTTCCTTTGTAATTTTAAAGTTAGCAGCATTTTGATATTTGAAATTTTTTTAATGAAAAATTACTAATTCTGGAAAAATTTAGTATCCTGTGTTTGCATCTAATATTCTCAAGATTCATAATGTGTCTTGGTATTATTTATTTTCAACCACTGTATTTGGCATTCATTAGGTCCTTTCAGCTATAATATTCAATTTTGAGAAATTTTAATTAATTATTTCATTGATAATTCCCTTCTCTAATTTTTCTCTTTCTCAACTTCCTATTTAAGGTTCAATATCTTACATAGGTCTTAATTTTCTTATCTTTCCATTCCTATTTCCCATCTTTTTGATTTTTATTATACTTCAACTCCAATTTCGTCTTCCTTTTCTTCTGTTGGCTTGATTTTATTTCTACTGTCATATTTTTACTATCCAAAACTTCTTTCTTGTACTCTCTGTACATTTTTATATCGTTGGCCCTTGTTTCATATAATACATAGTTTTAAAATTCTCTTTTTGTAGTCTCTTCTATTAAGATGTGCTCCACCCTACTCCACCCACATTTTCTTATATCTAACTCATATTTTCATACTAGGAAACTTCTTCAAATAATTGGGAGCCTTGGTTATCTGCTCAAATTTAAGAATGGGCTACAAAAATGCTGAATGGGAGCTTAGTCCACAGGCATGGTCTTTGGTGGGTTTCACCATATTCTTGGAGATCCTCACATATACATGGATGGATGGATGGACGGACGGACAGACAACGTTTTGGGTTTTTTTCTAGAATTCAAATTCCAAGAGGAAGACTCTTCTATCAGTGGGTATGTAAACCTTTAGTTCCTTTGTCTCCAAGACAGTACCTCTATATTCATCCATGCACTGGTGACTCCAAGCCAGAAACCAACTAATTTACTCTTTCCATCTTCTATTGTGAGGTTCTAACTACTTCTTAAATACACTTACAGTATTCATGTTTTAAGCTCCATCATTACCTCCTACTTCCATACCTACTTTGTGTAGGAAATTTTCTAACTCTTTTAGGAAACTTGTAATAACCAAAGTCAGGTTGCTTCCCGGCTTTCTCCACTACTGACAAAGGATTTTGTGTTCTCAGATCTGCCAAGTCCTATACATCACCTATCTGCAACTTCTAAAAGTGGGTTACAGCTTCCAGTCAAGATGGAGGAGTAAGTTGGTAAATGCTGTGCTTGCACCCTCCCAAAACCACATCATAATTACAACTAAAATACAAAACAACCATCAATGAAAATCGCCTGAAGTCTAGCTGATCAGAAGTCTTGTAACTAAGGACGTACAAAAGAAGCTATCTCAAGACTGGTAAAAGGGGTGGAGACTTGGAATAGGCTGGTCCCATATCCACATGTGGCAGTTAAAAAATAGGGAGGCATATCTCAGCTGCACAGGTTCTCCCTGAGGAGCGAGGGGTCCCAGCCCCACACCAGGCTCCCTAGCCCAGAGTTCTAGTGCTGGGAAGAGAATTCCCCATAACTTCTGGCTGTGAAAACCAGTGTAGATTGTGGCTGAGTGAGACAAGAGGCTGCTGGAGTCCCAGATGCTCCTCTTAAAGGGCCCACACATGAACTTATTTGCTAACACTCACTTGCTCTGAGCTCCACCAGTGGTACAGCAGCTCGAAAGGCGTCAGGTATATACACAAGGAACTGAATTGTCTGGCTTCAGGGAGAGGGCCGGAGGGGCAGCTTTCTCCCAGACAGAAGTGCTGGCAGAAGCCATTGTTACTTTGTTGAGCCCTCCCCAAACCCAGCCTGCAGGTACAGGCAGTAAACAAGTCTGAATCTCCATCTACCTGGCAAACAACATTCATCCCACCCTGGTTACTTCCTGAGACCCCACACTCCCAACTAGCATGCCCACCAAGCTGCTTCCAGTGGCTTTTCCATACAAACAGCCAGTCTTGGCTCATGTTGTAGACCTTCCTAAAACTTCTCAAAGAACTTTAAGCATAGATATAGATAGAAAGATGGAGAAAGAGATGGAGAGGAGATGGGGGGGAGGGGGTGGAAAGGGGGGGGGGCAGGAGAGAGATAGAGAGACAGAGAGAGACAGAGAGACAGAGAGATTTATTTGTTTTTTCTAGAACTCATATTCCAGGAAGAAGACTCTCTCCTGCTCAGAGAGTACATAAACCCAAAACAAGCAGCATCTGGCCTCAGCATGCCCTGTACCCCTTTCTAAGTAGCCCTATGCCCTGCACTAGTGGAAACCAGGCTTAGTTTGCAGCTTAACCTCTCCCAGGTATCTCCAAGCCCAGTGCAAGTGGCAACTGCCAGTAGATGACTTTGTAGCACATACCAAGTGGCCACAGGCAGGGCACAGGCAGCAGCTGACCTTGGCTTGCACAAGAGCCCCTCCAAAAAGGTCCCAGAGCCAACATTCCCAGTGGCTAGCTTCTGACAACACCAGAGAATCACCCAACTACCTCCACAAACAACATACCCAAAGGGCAAACTAAGCAGGCACCGGAGCCCTGCTAAACTAAATCCTGCTCTGTAGGGTCAGGCTCTGCACAACAGCTTCTTCACTATAGTCACAGCCAGTCCTCATGACCAATTAGCCTGAGGATTAATCCTTCCCACAGACATGCCAACAGCAATCAAGGCTCAATTTTAACAGGAAGGCACACATGACCCACACAAGAAACACACCTGGAACATCCGGATCAGGTGACCAGGGAGACTGTACCACTGAGCCCCACAGGATACCTACTACATAAGGCCACTCAACTAAGATCAGGAGACATAGCAGCTTTACCTAATATATAAAAACAAACATAAGGAAGCAGCCACATGAGGAAACAAAGAAACATGTTCGAAATGAAAGAAGAAAAAAAAGCTCTAGAAAAAAACCTCAACACAATGGAGACAATCTACCAGATCCAGAGTTCAAAACACTGGTTATAAGGGTGCTCAGTGATCTCGGTGAGAACTTCGACAAAGAGATAGGAAACATAAAAATGGAGATAGAAAACATAAAAAAGAACCAGTCATAAAAGAAGAATATAGTAACTGAAATGAATACATTAGAGAGATTAGATGTTTAGATGAAGCAGAGGATTAAATCAGTGATTTGTAAGATAAGGTAACAGAAAACATCCGATCAGGATAGCAAAAAGAAAAAAAAATCCAAATATACGAGGAGTTTAAGGGGCCTCTGGGACATCAAGTATATCAACATTAACATCATAGGGGTACCAGAAGGAAAAGAGAGAGAGCAAGGAATTGAAAACCTATTTGAAAAAATAATGACAGGAAGCTTCTACCTAGCCTGGTGAAGGAAAGAGGCATACAAGCCCCGGAAGCACAGAGAATCCCAAACAAGATCAACTCAAAGAGGCCCACACCAAGACACATCATAATTAAAATGCCAAAGGTGAAAGACAAAGAGAGAATTTTAAAAGCAGCCAAGAGAAAAGCAATTAGTTACTACAAGAGAGCTCTCATAAGACTGTCAACTGATTTCTCAACAGAAACATTGCAGGCCAGAAAGGATAGGCAAGAAATATTCAAAGTGGTGAAAAGTAAGGACTACAACCAAGATTACTCTACCCAGAAAAATTATCATTTAGAATCAAAGGACAGATAAAGAGCTTCCCAGAAAAGAACAAGCTAAAGGAGTTCATCACCACCCAACTAGTATTACAAAAATGTTAAAGGGATTTCTTTAAGAAGAAAAAAAAAAGATTAAAAATATGAATAATAAAATGGCAATACATTATATATCAACAATTACTTTAAATGTAAGTGGATTAAATGCTCCAATCAAAAGACATAGGGTGGCTGAATGAATAAGAACATAAAACCTTTACATATGTTGCCTACAAGAGACTCACTTCAGATCAAAGACACACACAGACTGAGAGTAAAGGAATGGAAAAGATATTTCATGAAAATGG